GCAAGCTCTTCTACCCCTTAACCCTGCCCCGTTGTGCCACCGGTGCCACACTGTTTATTCTTCCGCAGTCTTTGGCGACCAGACAATATTTTTAAATTCTGCAGGTGCCCTTATTTAACTGGGCTGTCACTCTTTTCCTCAGCGCTGACCTCTTTCACGCCCACTTTTAGTCTCTCCAGTCTGACTGGGGAAAAGTCAGGAGTTTGGCCAAGAAATCCTTACGGAAATCCTTACTCGGGCGCGGATCCCCGAGGTGTGTGGGTCCAGGGGCCCGCCAGAGAGTGGAGGAGGAGGAGGAGGAGGAGGAGGAGGAGGAGGAGGTGGAGGATGGGGCTGAGGCTGAAGGACGTTCGGCTCAAGGCAAGATGGCGAAATAGGACTGACTTACAGGAGGTCTAGTTTGGCCTAGAGAAGGCCTAGAAGAAGAGGGGTGGGGGTAACCGTTGAATAGCGCGGCAGGTAATCGGCTTTACGGCCACCTCACAAGGGAACTCATCTAAGTGTTAGTCCCCGATTTTGTTCCGCCTTGGGGGTTTTGTAGAGTGAACGTATACAAAACGATTGGCAATGAAAATTCGTGCCCAATTTCATATTTAATTTTATAGGGGAAATCCACTTTCTCCAAAAATGACTAAAAAAAAGCATTTTTTCTGAAAAATCCAAAAATTATCCACAGCTTGTATGTTTTCAGTTTTAAAAAGTCGATTTAAGGCCAAATACAAATACAAACTCTCGGTCATATTTAATTTTTTCAGAAAAAATGCTTTTTTTAGTCATTTCTGGAGAAAATGGATGACCCCTATAAATACGAATATGAAATTGGGCACGAATTTTCATTGCCAATCGTTTTGTATACGTTCACCCTACAAAACCCCCAAGGCGGAACAAAATCGGGGACTAACACTTAGATGAGTTCCCTTGTCAGCCCGACACTATTCCCATTTTTAGGCAGAAGCGGGGTGGCGTGGCACGCAGCCTGCCACTCCTCGTAGGCTAGGGCCGTACCTACACTGTGTTGTAAATCCGGGGTGTCCAGCAGGTTGGCAAAAAAGTCGCCTGACCCGCAAAACCAGGCGACTTATGTCGACTATCCGCTGGACACCTTCTGGTCTTCCGGGAAATTACATGGTCACAATGGGTGGGAATGCCTATGGAATCATACAATTCAATTACCCGGGAGAACAGCCAGCAGGTAGTCGACATAAGTTGCCTAGTTTTACGGGTCAGGCGACTTTGTCGCCTACCTGCTGGACACCTCGGATGTACCGAGTGATTCAAAGAAGACGCAGGAGCGGGCGCGTTTGCCTACCCAAGGAGCTATGGCGCCTTACGGGCAGAGCGGGTAGACAAACCCGCGCGCTCCTGCGTCTTCTCTGAATCACCCGTAACGTTACATTGTAGCTGTCCCTTTAGGCACCTCGGCTCCAGGGAATACTCCTCCAGGCCCAGGCAACGGCACCCTACCTCTAGCATCGCTTCTCCAACACCTTTCCTCCAACACCTCTCCTCCATCACCTCTCCTCCAACACCTCCCTTCCGGGCACCCCACCTCCAGGCACCAAACCTCCAGCACCTCTCTTCCTCGCTTCCAGCAGGCACTTCCCCTCCAGACACCCCACCTCCAACACCCCAACAACACCTCCCCTCCAGGCACCTCCGCGGCCGCGCTGCGCTGGTTGGCGATTTATTGCCCGCCCCACGCTATACGGCCATCGCTTACGGGCGCGCCGCGGCCCGGTCAAGTACCTCGCGCCGGACTGCGCACCCGCGGTGTGTGAGGCGCGGCGCTGCGGCTGCGGAGGCAGGCAGGGGCAGGGAGTCATCGGCGAGAGTAGTTCCACGGCCCCCGCCAAGCCAGCCCATACCCCGGCCCACCACGCACGGCGCGAGGCCCGCTGCGCTGCGAGCTATTCGCGCCGGCGCGTTTAATTAAGCAGACCCTTATATATGGACTGACACGGGAGCCTCACCCGCGCCGCGGACCCACGGCCTCGAGAGCCACGCCCTCCTCGGCGAGCTTTGGAGAGCGTCCGCAGCGCCCCCTCCGTGTACGCCGTGCACCTCCCCACCTCCTCCCTCTCCCCTCCACTTCCCGCTACGCCCCCCAAAATGCATGCTAAGGCCGTCTTTTTCACGGGGCCCTGCCCCAGTAGCCCCTTTGTTTGGCGCCGTCCCCGATACCTCACACGCACCCTCCGCCGATCTGTCTCCGTCCAGTCTGATTAGGTGGAGAGAGAGAGAGAGAGAGAGAGAGAGAGAGAGAGAGAGAGAGAGAGAGAGAGGTGGGTCTACCTGTGCGGGGGCGGGGCCGGCGGGGCCCCCATGGCGCTCTGCTATGCCAATTGTTGCGGAATGCCGATAACGCCGCAACGCCACGCCGCGCCACAACAACGGCTGCGATTAGGTTGTAAAGTTGAATGCACTGCGGGGCTTTGCCGGGGCGAGGCGGGGCGGCTGGGGGGCGAGGTCTGCACGCCAAGTGTAGCGCCATACACGTTCAAAGGAGTGTTGTGGGCGGAAAAGGAAAATATACGGTAAACCATGCGGAAGTTAACGTGTTCGCGGGCGGAATGTGTGTCGGTGTTGCAATTTTGTCACATTATATCGTCATGGGTTGAATTCAATCAAAGTTTAATTTGGGAGTAGTTTCTGGCTGTCAAATTTACATGTCCATGTGAAGTCCCACCTCAACTGAACTCAATTAAATTACGTTTTATTAAATTTAGCAGGTTTTGTATTATTGTAAAGATAGCACGTAGCTCCCGCACGTTCTTTGATTGTGGTGCCGCGACCTTAAGCTATTATTCTCCGCCGTTTCCTCATCGTCATTCTGGAATCGATATTCTAATCGAATCTACTTCTGATTCACACTTCATTCATCAATCAAGGCTGCAAGGCCTCATTATTGTTGATAGGTGGCCTGGTTTCCTCGGTAAAAAGAAATCGGGTTGAGTATGTCCGCAATTTGGAATTTTTTTGTGGTTCAAAAGAACTCACTGAATGGCCACTGTCACTGTTTTATCCAAGAAATTCTCTGCTCAAATATGTGCCACTTATAAGTGTATACGTGATGAACGCTTGGCAGTGTGCTGTAGGCCGACAGAGTCTCGCCGAGCAGCACGCTCACACACACACACACACACACACACACACACACACACACACGCACACACACACACACTGACACACACGCACACATTCTTACTCTTTTTCTTTCTCTCTAGATTACCCTCCCGCTCTCTCCATCAAAAAGAGTAAGACAGCAGCGAGCCATTCTTTTCCAAAACGTGGCAGCAGCGGGGCCGGGGACTTCATTATCACGACAAACATTATGGAGCGCGTCGACTGTATCAAATCTGGCCCCGTACGCCTTTGACCCGCTGCCCGCGTCCGCCCTCGCAACCCCTCCGCTCTTCAACCCACTTCAACCCCTTCCCCTCACCGTTTCCCTCTCTGCCGCCCCTCCCCTTCCGCTACCACCCTACCCCCGCGTCTAGGTGGTGCGTGCTCACGGTACCACAGTTCCGGCACTAGTTGTTGCTCCCTGCAGCAGCGTGCTCCCTTATACCCTCTTGAAAACCGTCCTGTAATGGAACACGCCACATAACAAGCATATGCTTTTTGTTGTAAAGGGATGACAAGCTTAACGATTCGGCATAACTGCAAAAACATTGCGTTTGTCATGTAAAACCGGACCCTTTCTTTCTTTATTATCCTTGCAAGGAAAAAAAATACGATGTTTTAATGCCCCCCCCCCTCCCCTCCTACTTTTTTTTTGCAAGTGCACGCGCGCTTTGCCGGACCGGCTTGATGTCGTATGCGCGCGCGTCCAATTTATTCGTCAGAGATTCAAACGGGCTGTGATAGCGCGCGCCGGAATGACAGCACATAACTGCATTTGTTGACGTGCTGGGAGGGCGAGCGCGAGCGAGAGAGCTGTCGGTATGTGTGACAGGAGAGAGAGGGAGAGAGAGGGAGAGAGAGAGAGAGAGAGAGAGAGAGAGAGAGAGAGAGAGAGAGAGAGAGAGAGATACAGGCCTCGAGGGGAAGGGAATGGGAGGGAAAGAGCTATCATTGCAGAATTGCCACAATGGAACCCGTGTCGCTTTAATGAGAGTCGAATCAGCTGGGCGCTGCGGCGGCCGTGGCGGGCTCACGCCCCTCACGAGCACGGGGCAGAACAGCACACGTGAAGCCGAACAGCACATGTACTGTACAAGGAGATTTGGCATAGGGAAGGTACCATGTGTGCGGCGTGATAGAGGAGTCTTTTCCGGGACGCCAATGAGGATGGCGATGTGACTGCTGCAAGGTCTTGCTGCCCCTGCCCCCTCTTTCTTCACCCCTCGCGCCGCCGCTGTTCAGCGGACACTCTCCTCCGTCTCTCTCTCTCTCTCTCTCTCTCTCTCTCTCTCTCTCTCTCTCTCTCTCTCTCTCTCGATTTTCCGTTGTCCGTCTCGGCCACACCTCGCTTACCCCTCCCCCTCCCCCATCCCTGGACAGTGCGGCCAGCGGAGGCCCCAATCAGGAAATAACCATTGAAAATGTAAATTGAGGGGGCCCAGCGGTCGGTCCATCGGGGGGAGGGGCCGGAGGGGAGGTCCAATCATCGGTTAGCGACGCTCAAACGGGACGCGTTCGGAGCGCCGGCAGCAGCCGCCCCAAAGGGGAGCAGAGACAGTGTTTGTTATCTTCGTCGGGGCCTGCTGCTGCTGCTGGACCACGGAGGCTGTGCTGACGAATTACAAATCGCTATTGTGTGACGAGGCGCCCGAGGCCGCGCTCAATACTCTTGTGCCCGGGGGGAAGCGGACGTGGCGGTTGTGAATCTTTGTAGTTGACGAATAAAGAGAATGGATTCGCCATACCGGGCGGATTGAAATCGTTTTATGAAGATTAATTAAATATTTGTAGTGTGCTGTTATTAAGTTTTATTGTTTGGAAACGTTTTTGAAAGTTTCTTTAGTTTGTCTGACCTCGTGCCTTGTCTCTGTTCGCAGTGGAGGAGCTGCAGTGCATGGCGACGTGGAAGGAGGGCTCGGCGCGCTACCTCGTGGGCAAGGTGCACCACTCGCACGCCACCTCCAACGAGGACCGCTTCCGCTGCTTCGTCTACGAGCAGGTGAACGCCCACGGCAGCAACGGCCTCGGCAACGGCCTGGGCAACGGGCTAGCGCTCGGCCTGGGCGGCCTGGAGGAGGAGCCGGGGCTGCCGGTCCGGGGCCACGACGCGGGCGTCGTGTTCAGGGTCGCGCAGAGCGGCGACGCCACCTGCAACGGGCTCTCGTCCGACATGGAGGGCTCCAGGACCATGACGCTGTACAAAGCTGAAGGTGAGTTTTGCAAGCGTTATGTCGCGTGTATATTTTGCAAAATATAGGTTGGACCTGGATTTTTGGCCAAGTTGATCGAAATTCGTCTGCCTATGCTCAAGCCTAGTCCCCTCCCTATTTTCGCCCCCAAGCGGTAAAAACAATATCTGATGTTTTAAGGAAAAGGGGAAAACTTTGAGGAATATTTCAAGAAAAATTCCTCTGATTTTGAGAAAGTTTCCTTAAAAAGTGTGGGTCTAAGAATTTTCCTCATTTTTTGAGGAGACTTACTCATCTGGGGAGTTTTTCCTCAAATGTAAGAGTCCCTCAAAGTTTCCCACCAGGGTTTTCCCTTTTCCCTCAAAAGGTCAGACATTTGTTTTTACCGTGCTCGATCCTTTTTCGTTCGGATTTACAAACATGAACCTAGTAGCCATGCGGTGGCGCCGGAGCAATGTCGGTGGTTGTTTGACACTGTTCTTTACTTTATTTTCAGCGGCGGCGCCGTCGCGCTGCAAGTTCCCGAGCTGGCTGTCGGCCCACGCGCACTGGCACACGCTGGACTACCGGCGCTCCTACTCGCTGCACCAGAAGAACACCAGCCTCAAGATCTCGAACTCCACTGCCGGTGAGTGGTAGCTGCTGCTGCTTACTTTTAGGGGGGCACTGAAAACTCCTGCGTCACTGCTGCTTCGCGCACTGCGGCGGCGGAGCGGGTCCCTCTGGCTTGCATCTGCTGCTCTCGATGATCAAACGATCAGACGGACAGAGACTCTTGATAAGTTCTTATCCCGTCTAAACTTCGCGCGCAAAGCTTTTTAATAAAGGTCCTGCGTATTTCTGCAAGGAGATGGCGCGGCGGTGCCGTGCGCGCACCCGCGCGGCAGTTCGCGAGCGCATTGGGGGTGGTTTCGAATCTTAAAAAGTTTTCCTTCCGAGTCCCCGGCGCGCGGGCGCGGGTCGCCCTACAGCAAAAGGGTCCTTCAATCCGGGCGAAAGAGGGGAAGAGAGGGGGCGGGGGTGAGGAGATATCGAGGATGAGCGAGGCACTACTACCTCTCGTGGGAGTCAAGTTGACCAACCATAACAAGGCTACTCGCACAGTCATCTCGACGCCGGGAAGTGCCCCTCTCGCTTCACTCTATTTTTCCCTCTCTACTGCTCTCTGTCTCTGTCTCACTCTCATTTGCCAGCGCAAGAAAAACATGCCTAAAATAACTCCCGCCTATTATTCCCCACTTTTCTTTTCGCCCCGGTAGTGTTTTCATCCTGTTTGACCCCCCGGCCTCGGCGGCCGCCTCGTCGCCGAAATTGAAAGTCATTCCGAGGACAGCGGCGGCGGCAGGCTGCTACTGGCAATCTGTGCTCGGGAAGACTTTCTCCGGCCAACTTGACTGTGAGACAGAGGATGGATGACCCCCCCCCCCTC